GGCAGAGCTCTGTGTGTTATTAAATTTTAAATGCTTGTAGCTGGTGCCAATAAGCATCTGAGAAACCCTGAATGACTTATTGTTGCTGCCTGTATACCTGACTTCTTGATCAGAACATTCCCTGAATCTTAGTAATTCTATGTCACATTGTATCTGGCTGACACAGTAGCCAATTCATTAAATGTCTGTCTAATGGATATATGTGGTTTCTTTTAATTCCCTATTTATTGCTGCTCATGTTCTTGTGAAGCATAAACGCGCAAAAATGTATTCTGCAAAACAACTGCAAAGCGAGGAAACAAATTTCAGAGACCATTTCGCAAGTTAGGAGAGATGTGTTGTACAGAGCTAATGAGCTTCGTGTGAAAATATCACTTAGTTTTAGCTTTTATATGTTGTTCCTTTTAAGAAAAACGCAGCTTTGCTTTTCTAAAATGACCGGCCATGATGTCTAAATGTATCTTACGTAAAGAGAAGAGCTTCAACTGTTTCGTTGTTAAAAGTGAGTTTCCACCAGTGGTAAACTTCATTATACATTCATTGTCAACTAAAAAAGAAGCAGATTTTCAGTTTTCTTTTTGATTTACTTACAAAACACAACCTTGAATTATAAAGTCTTATTTTTTTATTTCCTGCAATCGAGATTTTAATAAAACCTCAAAACCATTTGCATGATTAAGCATTCAGATTTCCTTAATGATGGGGAAAAAATAATTTTACGTGCTTCTTACAATGTTTAATTACTTTGTGCTTTTAATCTAAATCAGTGTGCTTACTCCACATAAGAAATTATTTTGCAGTTAGTCATAAAAATAACTTTGGAGGATATGCAAATGTGTTTGTGAGGGCAAATGATAATTAGGATATATGGATGTTACTTTAGGCTTTCAGTAATAATGAATCACTGCAAAAAAGCAACTCTCACATGCTTACCAATGTAAGAAGCAAAAGTGTTGCAAAACAAATAATATCATCATCATTTTAGTGATAGAAGAAATTAAGATTTTATGGTCGTTTTGAGAAGCTTAAATTTTGTCAATTTTCCCCTGACTTGTAATGCTTGGCTGCAATATTTCTGTAGCTTAATTTCCGTTTCATAAACTGTTAAAACATTTTACAGACATGATGACCACAAACATCACAATACAAATGTACAAATATATCCTTATGAAATTGTAGCTTTAAAGGACATGGCCTTTTATGTGGGAAATTTGGGCTGCATCACATTCTGAAATGAAGTGCCGAAAAACAGCACCAGATCTTCCTGTTCGCAAAATCTATGGATTTGATACGGGTCTGAAAAATGTGGTTTATGTATTTGCACATGCCCATATTCCCCCATTTCCTTTACAGGCACTGTACTTGTATTCCAAAGATTCCCTTCCTCTATTTGTGGCACAAGCACCAGATGGGAGAGCGAGCCGTATGTCGTCAAAATTACTTTATATCATTTAATGATCATCGCTGTTTCGTGTTGAAAATGCATGAAAAGTGAATAATGCTGTATTATCCTCACTTCTAAGTGCTAAACTGTAGGGGAGGACACCAAAGATGCTTATTCATCTTTAATTATATTTCGGTTTCACTGTATACTTCAATTACCCTATCACATCCTGTCCCGAATTTCAAATGCAGTGCAAGCAGAACCTGATTAATACAGAAACTCACCTGAATGGGCTTTTATCACAAACTTTATTCTCTTTGCTTCAGCTTTGGAAAATTGACTTTCGGGCTGTGTTTTCTACCTACCTACTGCTTATTCAGCCCTATAGGAAAACTAGCATCTGTCTCAAGTCTCAACAAGAAAACAAATCTGCCGCAGGAAGAACAAATAAAGATGGCCCGAGAATTTCACACACAGATGGCTGCAATTATTGTAGAATCCCCATGTGGTTTGTTTGATGCTATAATAATGAAATAATTTTCATCATTGCTGTCCTCTGTCTTCACCGTTTACATGGTTTTATTTGGTGTAGTTTTAGATATTATCTGCCACTTATTAAATTATTCAGCTTTCAAATTTGCTGTCATTGGTCGATCCAAATGATGTGTAGAGAGCATCTTTCATAGTTCCTACTACACAGATACAGTAAATATATGCAGGACATTCTGTGCCCCATGCAAATAAATAGTAGTCAAAACGTGTATTTGCTTACATCTGTAGGACGTCACTAACATGGACATCTTTATTGCACATAAAAGCAATTGGAATGTCAAGCAGTCCAATTTACTCTGACAGAGCATCATTGCCGTCTGATTTTGACAACCCTCGACGGCTGTAGCACATTAAAGGGGCCCTTTCGTGCATTAAAGACTTACTATGACCCCCTTTCAGATGTTTTGAAGAATTTCCCAAGTGTTTTGTACACTGACTTAAAAGACCCGGTCTGAATTTCTGGGAAAAAAATAGGTTCAAATTGCAAAACACTTTTTTTCCCCCAGAGTTGCTCAAACTGGAATCAATCTGGATGAAACTCACAGTGTAATTGTGTAAAGATACCAGTAACCACACGAGGCTAGAAAGTGATGCTCGTGAAAATGGCACAAGTACAGTGAAAAGTATCTGCTCATTAAAATGGCATTAATAGAAACAAAAATACACATCGTCTTGGTAGATTGTCCAGCACTAACGTCCAAATACTGTATAAAACACCCCATGCCCCGTATAAAGTCACCACTTCCTCCTAGAGCTTTTTAAATGAAGGCTACAGACTGAAACAGCCATGGCTTCCTATGGGAGAGCAGGTGGCACATTTCGGAAGAGGCAGAGCGCCACCCTGTGGCCGCGAACGATTTTCAGGGCACGCCAGCCCTTCTGCTGCAGTGACAGCTGCATGCAAACGGAGCAGTGCATTTCTCACAGAATCACTGCAAAAAAAGGTGCAAAGACAGACCAGTTTTATTTCAAGATCTTACAAAGACTATATAGAAATGATCTTGTTAAAATGGAGGGGAGTGTGGATCTTCATAATGTGGCTTCAGAAGCCTGTTCATTAAGCAGCCTAATAATCATAACTATTGTATATAATTCAGTATTTTAATTGCATGAAGAATACTACTATGGTAACATTGAAATGTAGGCATTTAATGCATCGGCTCTTTGAATGACAATGGTATTTTAATCAGGCTGTGTAATTGTGAGAATGTAAATGAGATACCGGAATCCCAGTCTAATTATAGTAATAACAAAAGTTAATTAAGAGAATAATCTATACGACACTTTTTCTAAGCCTCTCTGATGTTTAACTTCTGTGAGGTGTATTCTAGGAAAGAAGCCAATTAACAGTGAAAACAGATGGGCCAGACCAAAGCAGTGGACAAAAGCAGCATTGCATCTAAAAGAGTTATTCAGCATGCATCCAACACAATTTTGTTAACTCATATAAAAGGGCCTGATAGGTAGTGTATCACTGAGGCACTTTAGAGAACTATGCTAATATTTGCCTGTTTATTGCAGATGGGGTATGTATAATAGTGTAATATATTATTTGTGCAGTGTTAAAATATCTTAGTGTTTGGGATTCAGGGTAGTTTAAAGCGGGTCTGAAACATTCTCCCCCTTATTTTTAGAGTAGTTGGTACATTCCGTCTTGTATATAGATAAACAGGTACTAGACAACCTACTGCTAAGCTAAAGGAGAAAATGGTGGATGTACATTCCACCCACTGCAAACGCAGCACTCTCCATTTCAGCACCTCAGACAGTGTTCTAGTAAGAACTACAAGAGCCAAACAAACACAGATTTTATAGCAGCACCCTGAAATTCTGTGGCATAGCAGGAGGCTGTCCCCCGCTGCAGGCCTTTACAAGTCCTTATTCCAGTGGGGAGACAGGAGACAGCTGTGCCTAATTGGGGAGACGCTGTCAGATAGGAGGCGTGGCAGCTTACACACCTTTCGCTCTCCAACACTGTATTGACAATAATATGATTTTTTTCATGTACAAGTTCAGTGGCTGGAAGGAATATGCAGCAGAACCAAATTCAGATGTTTGCCTGTTAGCAGATAAAAATCTGCAAACACTGCAAAAGCCAATGGCAACCTTTTTGCCTTAATTATATTATTTATTATGTGTTAGTCTTGTGTGCTCTGTTAATCTTGTCATCTTGTGCTAATCTGTAGTGTCTATACTTTTATGCAAATATGTCCTGTGAAGTGTTTCTCTGTATGCCTTGTCTTTCTTTGTCCTGTACAACATGTTTGGCACCAGACCACAAACAATTCTTGTATGTTCATACATATTGGCAATAAAATGAGTTCTGAGTTATGAAGAAGATCCATTTTTAATCCATTTAAATTACTGAACATGCTCATAATAGCTATCCAAAGTATGTGTTTTGTTTACCTACATTAATGCTGCACATCAAGCGATTTTTGGGATTATATGCAATCTTAATTTCAATTTCATACAGGCATGGTCCCTGAGGTAAACAGCTGACATCCCATTAGTCTGAGGGTCGTTTGTGAAATTTGCCAGAGAAGACCCTGCTGTCCATTATTATTATAAAGCCATAATTTATGTTCATTGGTTTGAGGTTCAAGGTGAAACGGCCAATCAATTTGGAGTCAGCTGATTAAGAGGGATCAGTTTCATCAGAAACAGTCTGTTGAGTATGTCACAGACAAGGATCTAGTCTGTCAAGTATTTCATAGTGAAGGATCCTGTGATCTGTTTACATTAAATAAACTTGAAAACGCATTTTCGTGAGTAGTACAAAGAACAGAGGCTGTGGTGTACAGAGAAAGGAGATAAAAGTCACGGTCGGATATGTTATCCTCCAACCTGTCCATGTGTAGCAGATATTAAAGTAAACCTATACAAGCTGGAGAACTTGATCCCTACAGCAAAGGGGGGGGGGGGGGGGGGGGGGGGGGGGGAGTTGAGGTTCAGTCACTTGAAAAGAACAACAAATGGCAACAAATACAAAGATATTCTGAGTGATCACATCCAACCAAGTGGTTAAGCATCTCTATCCTGCTGGGACCAGAATCCTCCAGGGTGACATCAGCTCCATCCACAAGGCATGAGTGGTCACTGAATGGTTTAATGAACGCGGATTGAGTCTAAGCCATATGGCATAGCCGTCCCAGTCATAAGATCTCAAACCAATTGAACACTTGTGGGAGATTCTGGACGCACGCCTGAGACAGCTTTTCCAGCACCATCAGCATAACGCCACATGTTACACTTTCGCATGAAAGAATGATGTTGAAGTCCAGGTCCAGGCACTTGTGAAATCTACGCCAAGGTGGCTCCGGATCACCCAACCTCTTCATGCTGTGTTTTCCTTATTTTTGCAGTTATTGCTAGCTGAAGTAATCAATGCAGCGCTGGTACAAGTCAAAGAAAATGGGGGTCAGTTTCGCAATTTCATATGGTGATGGGCTGCATCAGAATTAAGAATAAATGACAAATTTCTTTTTAATTATATAATGCTGATCAATTTAGAAACTCCTTAGATATTGAGATTTTTAATCTTTAATCTAATTAAGGGGACGGGGTACCACTTTAAGGGGATGGGGTACCACTTTAAGGGGATGGGGTACCACTTTAAGGGGACGGGGTACCACTTTAAGGGGACGGGGTACCACTTTAGCCTGTGCTCCATCGGCACAGTTCCCATCTGAACAAGTTCTCCACCAGCTCAGGCAACATTATAACAACGTGATTTCAACCTCTCCTTTGGCTTTATTCTCAGTGTCTCCATTATTTATCACAAAGTTAAAGAAGAAAGTGATTGAAAATGTAATGCAAGAAAATGCATGTGTCATTAGAGTGTTTTTATCTATGTGGCACCTAGTGGCAAAAGCATAAAAGCCAATAGAGTACATGTTAAAGGAGACCTTGGGATAGATACAGTATACAATCTCTATACTAAATGCTGCTTCTTACTAAAATAAGTTGTGCGCTTTAATCACTTATCCATCCAGCTTCCAGCTGTGTATCACCTATAGTTACAGTAACATCACATACTATACTGTAGGTAATTTATTAATGCCACTTTCCCACACTGCGTGTCTCTGGACAGCAAGAGGAAACCAGAGTACCCAGAGTAAGACTGTAAATCCGTCAGGCTGGCAGCCGTCCCGTCTGGGTGGGCAGATGATCCATTGGGTTGGGCACCCGTAGTCACGCACCAATATACACAACGGAACCCCCAACATCAACCCCCCCAATAAAAATGAATTCATTTATAAAACAATTTCACTCTATTATCCATTTTTTCTTTTGTTAAACATTAGCATTTGTTTAATCTGCTATCATCAAGGAACCAAAATGCAGTGGAGCAGGAATCCTAGCAAGAGTAGCTTTATTATCCACTTAAAAAACGAGAAAAAGGGGGAAAAACTCCTTTGGGAAAAACATAATTTAAGGCCCACAAACAAAAACCCTCCTTTTCCACTCTCCTTTTGTTCTCTCACACCACAGAAGGACGTAAATGACTCTTGTTAATCGAGCACAACTGAGCATGATTGAGGCCTAATGAGTCCCCCCACAGGTGAGCCTGCTGGGCAGCGGCGGGGGGGGCGTGGCCCTGCCTGATGTGCGCCGTCAGGGTTCGTGCGTTTCACAAGAAATAAATAAATTAGTGCGCTGTCAGTGTGCAAAGCCCTTTCCATTAAAAATGCCATATACGCAATTTACTTTTCTCATTGACAGCAAGATATTAGTTGCATCCTGGAGGAAAAATGATGGACTCCCAGCTTGAGGTTTCAGAGGTGACCAAAATCATCATTTATTTGCAATGGTGTATTGTGGTAATAGCTACCAATGAATATGTGTTGTGTACGCCAACTTAGTTATCTTAATAGAGACTGTATTAAATGACCTGAGCCATATGGAGCACACACCATACGCCTTGCTGGGCAATGGAGAAATTAATCCAAACCATCCATCCATCCATGCATCCTCTAATCATATAATCAGTACAGTCATGGGAATGGCCTGGATCCGCCATGCAGCAGCACTGGACAAAATGTAGAGCTACATTGTAGACCTCAGTTTCTCAGACTGGTCCTTGGAGACGCCCAGCCAGTACATGATTTTGCTCCTACCAGGAGCTGGGAGGGAGCAAAAATGTGGACCATCTGGGAGTCTCCGAGGACTGGATTGAGAGACACCGCCCTAGATGGGATGCCAGTCCGCTGGAAAGCACAGGCGTGCACACACTCGCAGACTACTGGCAATTCAGAGTCACCGATTCATATAACTGCATGTTATTAACTGTGTGAGAAAATCCAAGCAGCATCCAAACGATGCAGACCTCCAAAGCATAAGGCTACAGTGCCACCTACCACCCCACCATGATGCTTATCCACCCCAATCCAGCAGAACACTCCTGTATTTTTACCGCTTTCATTAACTCTCTTTACATGTTTTTGTTCTAGCTCTTTTGTTCCGCCTCAGCCTCATCCAAATAACCAAAAACTAGCCCATTAACTACCACAAGTACAACTGAAATATTTTACCTCGGCTAAAGGACGGTCAGGCATGAGTGACAGCTGCTTCACGCAGCTCAAAATGGCATTTATTTTAAATATCACTTCTGATTGGCAATTAGCCCCCTCCTGCTCCGCCGAAAACCGCCATGACCTAATTCAAAAAAGAGGAACAGCGCGGAATATATCTTAAAGGAACGGCGAGACGTTGACATGACTTACTGCTACTTTTGCGGTATGGAGGACCTATGGAAATTAACAAAGTAGACAGTGAGCAGGAAGGCACAGAGGCCCCGAAGAGGACTTCTGCACCAATTATGTTCTTATAGATTAATGTGAGCTCATGCTCACATCCTTGCCGCATTGGTCATTACAGATGCAAATCCCTGTCGCTCTGGTGTTTAGCTGCACCTGTTCTCATTTTCATTCCTGGCTGCACACAGGCAATAGAGAAGGCACAAATCAAGTCCGATGTGAAAGGGCCAGACAGGGCACGCTGCTCTCCTTGTATACAACGAAGAGGGTTGTTCAGTCATAAGTCAACTCCCGGATTTTGTCCTCTAACAAATTTTGAGGGGGTCTTCCCTTCTGGGATGCCTACCTCACAGGGGACTGAGTGAATGTTTGCAACCAAAAGGGTATATTATATATTTTATACCCTGTGTGTGTGTGTGTGTGTGTGTGTGTATTTTATATATATATATATATAAAAACACACAATTTGGGTTATGCAACTCTTTTTCTTTGAATATGGTATCACAATAAAATGCCTTATCTCTTCTGCCCAAAGCCAGGACAAATACTTTACTGCATTACAGTACATACAGGACGTGCACATTTTCTTAGGGAGAAGTTAAAGAGGGAGGTGTTAAATACATATTAAGAATTATACCCACGTTAATCTCTGGAGCAGAAGTCTTTTATGTCCACAGTAAGAGGGAATTTAACCCTGTCTCATAACTATGTGTGTATAAGTCGATGTGGCAGTTTTATTACACGGGAAAATCCAAACTATATATCACTTCTAACCTTCACATATCCCTATCATGCAAATGTGTTTGCATAAGTTTGGAATTAGTATATACAGAAATAATACCCGAAGATAAAATATTGATCATATAAGTGAATGTATAAATGAACTAAGAACCTTAATTAGTATATCCATGACATTTTAATTTGACAAGCGTAAAAGGCATTACACTTGGTTTGATTATCAAATATTTATACAGCTTTGGCTTTACCTCTCATAAGTAATGGAACAGAAATGCTTGTATTAAAGGCGGATTATGCAATGGGGATGCGGGAGATTTATGCTCATTAGCAAAAAATGCAAAAGTGTCAAATGCAGTGGATGATTTGAAAATGCAAGGGCTTGCATGACATAAATATGTGGTTCGTAAGAGATCTTATGTGCAGTTGTGGATAACTGGGATCCATGAAAAGGATTCAGAATCAATTTCTTCTTATAATAGGTCACCTTTATTTATGAGTGTTATCTAACAGCATGTGTCATTTTGTGTTCTGGAATCTCGAATGGAATCAGTGCTGCATGCCGCATTGTCTTCTCTCAGCAGCTTTCTGTGATGTGCACAAATGTCATTGGCAGAGAGATGTGTATCTATTGTTCAGAGATAAAATATTTTATCATGTATTAAATCCCACTAGAGCTTAAAAAAGAAAAAAAACAAGTTGAACAATTGGAACAGGATTCAATTGTTTTATGTTACACTGAATGACATGTAAAACTTAAAAAAAAAAAAAACAATTCCCCTGAAGTTCTCATGCCTTGTCATCTTTGCGGCTTAGGTTGGGCTCCTTGGGAAGTTTTCATGGGAAAAGGGAGACTTTCACTGATCAGCTATAACCAGAACAGCTCTGTCCCATGGAGACATGGACTCACGTGACCTCTGAAGGTGTCCTGTGGTATCCGGCACCAAGGCCTTAGCAGAAGATCCTTTAAATCCTGCAAGTTGTGAGATGGGGCCTCCATGGATCGGACTTGTTTGTCCAGCACATCCCACAGCTCAGTTGGATTGAGATCTTGGGGATTTGAAGTCAAGACCTTGACCTCTTTTCATGTTCCTCAGATAATTCCTGAACAATTTTTGCAGTCAGGGTGCATTACCCTGCTGAAAGAGGCAACTGCCTTGGGGAATATCGTTGCCAAGATGGGAAGGACTTGGTCTGCAGCAATGTTTAGGTAGGTGGTATGTGTCAAAGTAACATCCACATGAATGTCAGAACGCAAGGTTCCCCAGCAGAACGTCGCCGAGGGCATCACACTGCCTCCGCCACCTTACCTTCTTTCCCCATTGCATCCTGGTGCTATTTCTTCCTCAGGAAAACAATGCACTGTCCACATGATATAATATGAAATGTGGCTCATCAGACCCGGCCACCTTCTTCCATTCCATGGTCCAGTTCTGACGTTCACGTGCCATCATAGGTACTTCTGGGCGTGAACAGGGGTCAGCATGGGCACTCTGACTGGTCTACAGCTACATAGCCCATATACCTAGAAAACTGCAACTCACTGTGTGTTCTGACCCCTTTCTGTCATAGCCAGCATTAACCTTTTCAGCAATTTGTGCTACAGTAGCCCTCCTGTGGGATCGGACCAGACAGGCCAGCCTTCACTCCCTATGTGCATCAATGAGTCTTGGGTACCAATGACCCCATTGCCAGTTCAGCGGTGTGGCCTTCCTTGGACCACGTTTGGTAGGTACTGACCAGTGCATAACAGGAACATCCCACATGACCAGCCGTTTTGGAAATGCTCTGATTAATTATCCATCCATCATGTTTTGGCTCTTGTCAAAGTCGCACATATCCTTACATCTGCCCATTTTTTCTGCTTCCAACACATCAAAAACCAACTGCTCCCCTGCCTAATATATAACGACACCCTTGACAGGTGCCATTGTAATGAGATAATCGATGATACTTACTTCACCTGTCAGTGGTTTTATTGTTATGGCTGATTGGTGTCTTTGTTTTAAAAACAATTTACTTAGTCAACCCACTTTGTTTATGTCAATGCTCCCATGACTTCTGACAATATATGCAGGCAGTACACATCCATCACAATCCAACACAATAACTGAGTAGGAATAAAGCAGAAATAAAAACAATAAATAAGCACTAGAGAGTTCCGTAAAGATGCTTTTCTTTCTGACATAACATATTTTTAACATAGCTTATTTGTAATCAACAATGTAAAATTAACTTATTAGTAAGCAGTGCATACTAAGAGTCAAAGCTGGAAAGTATCTGACTTGAGACTTGCTCTAAATTAAGCATTTTTAGGGAGTTGCCCCTTCTTCTAAACATAATATTTAAATATCCCTTTAACTGTCAGTTACATTGATTTAAAATGAAATGTTTGAGAGCTTGTACATTCCAGAATTTAAGGAGTGCATAAAATTGAATGCAGGGATCAGAGGTTGTGGCCCTGTGGTATTACTGGCCTGTTTAATTAGCATCGACGGCTCATGTGAAACGCTGTTCTTCCGAGATCAAGCGGCAATTTCAACGCAGCATAGGTGTAAGCCCCTGCTCTACCTATGACCTGGTCTTAAGGTTAAAGGTGTCAGGGTAGGGTCAACCAGTTCTGCCACACTAAACACCTAATAGGACAATGACACTAATATGATTTTTTTTTTTTGTGTGTGTGTCAAGAATATTTTAGGCTGCTGTGAAGAATTACACTTGGACATGGAAGGGCTATGAATTACTTCTAATTTAAGAGGTTCTGTCACTTACTCTTTGCATTGTGGGTCTCTTTACTCTTTTTCAGGGAAACGAGTACCTCAGATGGCCTAACCCAGAATTCTGCGATCGGATGTGTGCAGAAAGAGCATAGTATTGTTAATGACTTGTGCAGAGTTCTTCTCCAGGGACAGAAAGAAGAAGAAACCAGGAAGGTAAGAGTATTAATGCTACATCACCCTGACACATCCCTGATGATAGCAAAGCTAGTAAAGTGGTCCCCAAGTGGCTTTCATTTACAGCCGTGGGTTTCCTAAGCAACGCTAAGAGTAAAGTAGTCAGTTAGGTTGACCTTGTCATTTCCTATGAGGATTTCATGCAGTTAAATATTATTCTCCCATCAAATCTCAGGCTAAATATGGTTAGCATCTCATAGTCACCTTTAAAATCTGGAATTACTGATTTTGCTTTTGACTAAACTGTAATGCATTAGTACCCAGTAAGGATGTTCTCCTTGGTCTTCTACAGACACATTTTCTTGTAGCCATACCACAAGCATTTAGGCTTTTCCTGACGATATATTCATAATGGAAGCAGAATGACCCATGTAAACACCAAAGCCCTTAAAACACCATTGTGATACTGTGTCTAACATGTGACATATTCTCTTCTTTCTGAATGAATTACTTTGAATTTATCTGCTATGTGTCTGCTTACTCCAAAAGTTTGACTGGGCCTGTTTGTCGTTGTGTCTGCACATGTCAGATTCCTTACCCTCCCCAGGAATAACTAATCTGAACATTCCAGAATAATTTATTTTCACAGATGAAAGTAAGCAAAGAGTTATGGTGTCAACGTGGAATTATCTGGTTTTCTGCCAGGCCAAATGTAGAAGCTTATAGTGTGTTTCATGTTTGTTTGACATCAAGTTGTGTACCCATGAGATTCCTCACTTTCATGTGGAACTTTTAGAAGAGTCTTTCACAGGGTGTGTGGATGGGGGGGGGGGGGTTCCAGAATGGTAAAGTGATGAGGTCATTCAATGACTTCACCTGTGTCTTATTACCAATAATATTACATAACACCTGTCTACACCCTGATGCCCAAGGTCACTATAGGTTAATGGCCTTTCTTCTTGCTACCCAACCCACATTTAGTTTCCTTTGTGTTGAAGCTGAAACTGCTGTATTTCATTTCCATTCATTCCCTCTATTTCAGTAAACCCACCTTCTCTCGTGTCCCCAAACAAATCCTACTTCTTTCTCATATTTCCACGTTTCATGGCCGCTTTTGCCTTCTTACCTGTAGCAAGTCTTACAATGAGATTTGGAAGTTTAAATCAGTATTAAGCTTTCGTGCTGTTTGGCTTTAAATGCATACTCAAAGAAATTCAATATACTGCTCGAGTATCATCTGACCATTCGAAAGTTTTACAAGGAATCCAATAAATTGTTATTAAAGAAGCAGTCTGTTTTCTTGGACAAAATAATCATCTCCACAACTTTTCTTTGCTATAGAATTGCAGCTATATCTAGAAGGATTGGAGTTGCACCTTTTCAATGATATTGATTTCAAATACACTACCTGTGTATCTATGGGTGCTTTTGCCAGAACTGAAAGTTAGTAAAATCATATAGTAGCTCAGAATAACTCACTTTATGTAAAATTGTGAGGGGAAAAACAGATTCCTGACATTTATTTTCTTTGGAGATTAAAAATTAGATAGTGAACTGTATATTCTCTTCATTAAACTCCTGGTTTTACCAATTCAATATTTGCTTGTCATATGCCAGTATCAAATCTGCTTGTCTTCAGTGTATGTTGTTATAATGTATAAAATATTCTTTAAATATTGTTTTGAGTATATAGCATATACTGTATTTGTACTGTATTTTAGAAAAGTGCAGTCTTATTGATGCATCCTTCTACGGAGTTTCCATCAATCGATTTTCTTCAGTTTAACTTTTAACAGTATACATAACTTATACATAAAATATAGTGTTCTGTATACATTTATATCGTATACTATGTATACCTTTGCCCCACTTTCTTATAGTTTACCTTCATTCCTTTCTTCCTTCATTCCATCCTTCCATTCTTCCTTCCATCCTGCACTCTGTCTGCAATGTTCTGGAAAACAGTTACAAGGCCCAGTTTAGATCCTACCTGACAACGACTAGCAAATGGCACAAAAAAACAGATACTTTTCAGTCATAGAAATTGCAGCAAACCAACAATGTTATTAAAAACAGTTTAATAAAGTTCATCCTGCATTTACAAGCATGGGAGATTTAGTCAGGGCTGTTGGATTGCAGTGAGCAGTAAACCAAAGTGACCATTTTTGATGATTTTCCCTATAGTGCTGAAATTAAGCTGTGCCAGAAGAATATTCCTCCCACGGCCACATAAGATAATAATCTAACCACGATCCTTGGTCCAGTGATTATCATTCCTGATTAGATGACTGTGCGATGTGGGGGCATGGAGGTTTTGGGGGGGGGGGGCATGGACGTTTTGGGGGAAGCAGGACAGTCAAGGGGCAAGTCCTTCCACTTACCTGCAATCAGTTGCTAATTATTAATTAGACACTGCAGGTCTTCTATACACAGCAGGATTGTGATTATACTTCTTTATCTTTCCTCTCTCTGTTTGTCCAGGCCTGTTAATCATTTGTTAGAGCCAAAATGGCAATTTTAGGTGTCAATGTATGTTACTTCCTGTGACCCTGAGATGGATGGATGGATGGATGGATGGATGGATGGATGGATGGATGGAAGCAGGTTGATTTTGAGGAGTGGTAATGAGTTATAAATCCCCCAAGCCAGTCCAGAAGAAGCAATTTGTTTACAGTAACATTTCTCTTATTTGTCTCGTATATTTATTTCTGGGATTTTTTGAGGAACCATATTCCTAGATTATAACTTGGGCACTTCCTTTAGAGAAACCAAGAAACTGTTCTCAGTTTCCCCGCTATTGGGAAATGCAGTGAATGCCTGAGGTTTAATTAACATAAAAAAAATATATATAATCAATGCCTAAGCATATAGCTCAGTCCCTAGCTGCTTAAGGACATGTTGGTGCAATATAGCTATAAATTAAAGAACATGGAAAATAGTTCTCCAGTACTAACTTATGTATCTTCCTCTTAGGGATATTGGATTTTACCACATTTTAAACTAAAAAGACAACAAAGGCTATTTAATGTTGCTCGAGTATTTCTCTGTTTATTTTGGTTTTGTTATTTTAATTGCGATTTATTAGCTTTTTTGTTTAACAAAATGATGTACAGATATTTTTTTAGCCAATCAAAATATTCAACATTTTATCCTTATAGTTGGGTCGAGTGAGCTTTCCAGCGAGGAGTTTTAGCTCCTCAAATGTGTGTTTGTCAATAACCCAGAAGGCTGTCAGAACTCAGAAGATGAAGTACAGACCCAACAAATTTTGGCTGTCCTCTGCAGCAATATTGTCACATTAAGTTCTGACAGCTCCTGCTTCTTGGTGTCCCTGGACTTCAGAGAGAGTCTCAGTGCACAACAGATAAGCCCCTTAGTTCCTAATCAGATTGCACTTCATCAATGACTGTGGAACAAGGAACCCGAGAGAAAATATTTTAAGCTAATCTTCATTAGCAAGGTTGATAAGATCATTTGACCAAAGTGTCACTTTTTCTGTTCCCTACTGTAGGTGCAAATTATTATGATTTTTTTTCAGGGACAAGCTTGGATTTCATTCAAAATAGCAAAAGGACTTTTTCACTCTCTATCTGTTATCATGAATGGTAATTGTCAGGGTTGCACACTTGAAAACTGAATTTGTAAATTACATGGATTTTCCCTCACAAATTGATGCTTTTTATTCTTCATGAGTACTTATTGGTAATCTGTATACTGTTTCTTGTGTATTGTGAAATTGCCACTTTAGATTTTTGTGCTAGTACCTGGCAGAAAATTCCTGCTTCTGTTAGACTGATCATATCATCTTCATAGCACCAGTGACTCATGGGAAAGTGAGGATTATATTTAAAATAAAATGAAGAAAAACATAAAGCATAAATGTCTTTATTACAGTGTGATTTTCATTCTGTTTGTACTCGGATGATGTGATATAACTCCGTTTTCATTTGTGAAATCATTTGCCAGTTTTTTTATGAGTTTCTGTGTTTTTTAAATAAACATGCGATGAGGAGAAGCTTTATTGAAAGGGAAATCTGGCAGTTTTGGCAGCGTTTGGTCTGTAAAGTGATCCTGCTGCTCCCAAATGCAGCCACGTCAATGACAAGCCAGTTCCAGTGACAGGCACACGGGCCCAAGCACGTTTCACAGAAGATGGTGTTTCATCCACAGAAGATGGTGTTTCATCCCTCTCATAAACCACTTTTTTTTCTTTTCTTTTTTTTAAGCAAAACTGCAACCTGTAACCTTCTGTCCCTGAGACTTGCCGGTGGCTTGCATCTTGAGATTCCTCATGTATACCATTTTATATTGATACACCAATAAGTACAATTATTATATGTATCTTCCTTATTTCATATAACCATCTATATGTAATCATCTTTCATCTGTGCTTATCTGCAGAACTGCATTCTTGGTCTTCTATCGAGTTGTGTGTGTGTGTGTGTGTGTGTGTGTGTGTGTGTGTGTGTGTGAGCAGGTTTACCTATCCTTATGGGGACATAATTTCCCCATTACGTGATAAATATCCGTTTTTTTTTTCCCTTATGGGGACCGGTTTCTTGGTCCCCATAAGGGAAAACTCTATTTTATAAAAATCGGTGACTGCTATGAAAAAACTAAAAATGCAAAAACTCTTGTTTTTTGTTAGGTTACTTATGGTTATGGTTAGGGCAGGATAGGGGTTAAGTTTGTCATAGTTAGCGTTAGCATTTTTCCCATTGAAATGAATGAGCGGTCCCCATAAGGATATGTTTACCCTACATGTGCGTGTGTGTGTGTGTGTGTGTGTGTGTGTTTACATGTCATTCTTTGTACATGTCTGCCTGCCAGTCATTAGCTGTACCAGAACTGTTCTTTTTCTTTCAGCATTTTCATAGCTCCCTTGCATAAACTAACAATGGAAACACCGCTGTGATGCTGGTTGTCTGACTACGTTAAATCGCTTAGAAATATACAAAAAGCATGATGTAATTATGCAATTACCAAAAATGCTGAAGAAATACATGCAAAACATCCTATACTTTAAGAAGAGTTTCATTTGGGTGATTTTAAAGCCGGTATTCTGCATTTTAACCTCATTCCATATCTAAATTACTGCATTTTCTTCTATGTCACTATCTATGTTTTTAGTTTCACCGTAATTGTGGGTATATATATTTTTACTTCTGTCACACAACAAAGATAGTGGGAAGGGAGAAGGCTCAAAATATTATAATCACAAGTTGTTTGAAAAGTAACTGTAATGCTTTTTAAAGTTTTTAACGTACAGGGACTGCTAAGAAAAAAGACTCCGCACCTTGGCAACAGTAAAAATAATGTAAAGCCTCCTGAAAGAATAGAAGGAACTACTGAAGTTATTTTTTTCCATAACCAGAACAGATGAAGAGCATCGGGTGGGAATACAGAGCTTGAGACAACTTCATGAGGTGAATTTGATCAATGTGAAGGGTTGAGTATGAATTCACCACTACCACAAGAACAAAAGAACTTCTGGAATGAAGAAAGTAGAGATCTGCCCTTGAGTGGACCGAGTCATCAAAGCAAGAGAAGATAAAACCAGAAATCAGATACGATCAGTCCTGGCTCTTGATCATTCTTACAAAAACATAAATTTGTCAGATAACCCAATTGGATGGCCTGCCAAATGTGAACAGCATATGAAAGTCTCACCATTGCTCTATCCCTGTGCTACGTTGGATTTAATCAAATTGGATTGAGTCAAAAATGGAAGTTTAGACTGGAAAGTGTCCAGTGCTTGATTTAAGCCAGAGGTTTTTGCATAATATGAGATGCTCAGCAACTGAGAAAGCATTTCCACTAATTGAATCTGCACTATAAAGATTAACTGTTTAAATCCTATTCTGCAGATATTATAATCCAGTAAATATACCCAGACAAATATTTGTTGTTGTCCCATAAACTAATGGTAAGGGTATTTTATTGTATAATTGAGCAACTTGTCACTTTCTGATTTAGCTCAATGTGTGATTGATCTGTATTCATTAAAAATTAACGTAAATTAATATATTGAGTCATTTATACTTTAGCTTTTAACTCCTCCTGTTTCCAGAACTGCGTTTCCGTTTCTGCTGCTTTTAAAGACTAGCTGGCACCTTTCAGGTGTTTTTGAAATATCTTTATCCTCTTTAAAAAGTTTCCATGTTCCATTAAAAAGTTTTCCACAATTATGCATAACTAGTTAAATTAAATCAGTTCCAATTTAGATTTCAAGGCCTAAAAATACGAAGACATTCGAAATATTTTTGGTCTACGAAATTTTAAGAATTTGACGTGAACTTCATCTGTCTCTCACCTGATGTCAGGATCTGTCCCTACTGTACCATCCCATCATGTTCCCGTTTGGCCAGCAGGTGTCACTGGCCATCCCGTCTTTTGCTAATGTTTCCTAGTCTTTTGTCTCGATCTCTCACACCTGTTTCCTCTTTGTGGCTCATTACATGCGATCGCCGTTTAGCTTGTTGACAACGGTTGAATAAACAAGAATAGATAAACATTTGAGTCTTTAGCTACTGGAGAATACACACAAAAACTTTAAGAGTTTGTAACTATACCTGCCCCTCTCCCAAAATGTTAACAGGACCTAATCCAGGCATAGGCAAAGATGGCAGCTGTCTAGGATCCATTCAGCACACGGGGGCTCAGACAAAGTCATAAAATATATACATTATATACATGGTCAGCTCTAGCTATAGGCAGAACCCTCGAATTACCTCAGCAGTGGAGGAAGTAAAATTATCTTAGATTTTTTTGGTTGGGGGCTCCCAAGTAAAGCTTTGCCTAAGGCCATTGAAAAGGTAGATCCAGCCCTGTCTGTTTGTGCCCAAACTAATCTCTCCTGGTTTGTTTTTCTCCCACCCCCTACAGGAGTTTTGGGAGCGAAACAGTCCAGCTACTCTAATCCTCATCCTCATAGGATCATGTTTGCTCAGCATA